TTATTTTATTTCTAATTCTATTCTTAAGGTTAGGGATTTTAATTTTAGTCTAATGTATGTTTAATGTATGTTTTGTACTTTGTATGCTATTGGATACTTGAATTTCCCTCGGGATAAATAAAGTATCTATCTATCTAAGGAGCGACTGAGAACCCTGAGAAGCTCTTCCTGACAACACCACTGATAGGTGGAAGGAGGGTAATAAAACGACATTGCAAGCACTACAAAAGAGTGATAAGTGCATGAAGACGGTGTAAACCATCTAGCCTAGAGTAAGGTTGCCCATATCAATTTCCTAACCTCTAAGAGAGGGAAGGTATATTGATGTTCCATTGTCTCAAGGTCCAGAACAGGGAAATTAGATACTTACACTGTCCAAATATACAAGTAAGTAATATACAAGTAAAAGAAATCAGGACCACAGTAATTATTCATAATTACCAGAAAATTATTTGTCTAACCACATCTGATCACGTAGCTCACATAAAGTGTACTTAAAACATGTAGTCAACCTGCATAAGAAGGGAAATCTATCATCTAATCACAAAAAATGTAACATAGGGGTTTTCTATGTTTAGGCCCAATGGCATTTATATAACAAATTTTAAGTATTGACGTAAAATGAGAAGGTATGATTGAGACAATTACAAAAGTGGAAATCATGTGTGAAATTGAAAGTTCAGTCCTGAATAAGGGAAAATTATACTTTGGTATGCAAAATTTATGGTACATTCAGACATCCTGCTTGACAAACACAACTGAGGATCAGATCAAAACCCCCTTGCATTAAAGTGCTAGTAACATCTTCCTACTAGAAGTAGTTTTCTCTGGACCCCTGCCCAATGTGACCAGTGATGACACGTATAGCCGCATGTCATCATTCCACCGCTGGCTGTCGAGGTGGTGTCCAGCAAACGATGTGGGCTTCATAGATAACTGGCGGCCTTTTTGGGGAAAACCTGGTCCGATTAGGAGAGACGGCATCCATCCCACGTTGGATGGAGCGGCTCTCTTATCTAGGAATATGGCGAAGTTTATTTCTAAAACCTGACAGTCCAGAGTTGGGACCAGGACGCAGAGCTGCTGTCTTACACACTTCTCTGCACTTCTATTAGTACAGTCACCCACCCAAAACCCCACAGAGACTGTGTCTGTCCCCCGACCACCTAAATAAAATAATAAAATAATAAAAGAAATTAAAAAAAGAGGGGTTAAACATAAAAACCTAATAAAAATTAAAGCCAACTCCTCAGTAGCACAAAATAAAAGAATGAAATGTGGACTGTTAAATATCAGGTCTCTGTCCTCTAAAGCTTTCTAGTTAATGAATTAATATCAGATTATGATATTGATTTACTTTGCCTTAATGAGACCTGTTTGTCCCACAAGGAGTATGTTAGCCTAAATGAATCCACCCCCCCAGTCATATTAATACTTACATTCCTCGAGGCACTGGCCGAGGAGGTGGAGTAGCAGCCATATATGATTCGAGCGTTTTAATGGACCCTAAACCAAAACTAAATTATAATTAATTTGAAAGCCTTGTTCTTAGAGCTTCTTTTATAATAAAATTATTACTATTCGAGAGAAAATAAGTCACCAAATGCCATCAACAGGTATCACTGGCTCTCCAAGTTCAGGAACTTTAACTAACTTTTTACATAACAATAGTTTATTTGAGGATTTTCAGTCAGGATTTAGAGTTCATCACAGCACAGAGACAGCTCTGGTTAAAGTTAATAATGACCTTTTGATTGCTTCTGATAATGGAGTTCCACAAGGTTCTGTACTTGGACCGATACTATTTACTTTATATATGCTCCCTTTAGGCAACATTATTAGGAATCACTCCGTTAACTTTCAATGCTATGCAGATGATACGCAGTTATATCTATCGATCAAGCCCGATGAAATTAATCAATTATCTAAATTACAAACATGTCTTAAGGACATAAAATCCTGGATGAGCTGCAATTTTCTGATGTTAAACTCAGAAAAAAATGAAATTCTTGTACTTGGACCCAAAAACCTCAGAGACTGACTGTCTAAAGATATAGTTACTCTAGATGGCATTACCTTGGCCTCTAGTACCACTGTCAGGAATCTTGGAGTTATGTTTGATCAGGATTTGTCATCTAATTCCCACATAAAGCAAACCTCTAGGACTTCCTTCTTTCATTTACGTAATATTACAAAAATTAGACACATCCTGTCTCAGACAGATGCAGAAAAAATAATCCATGCATTTTTTAGTTCTAGGCTGGATTACTGCTACTCTTTGTTATCAGGCTGCCCCAATAAGGCTGCCATTAAGACACTCCAATTAATTCAAAACGCTGCAGCACGAGTACTGACAGGAACTAGGAAAAGAGATCACATCTCTCCTGTACTAGCTTCTCTGCACTGGCTCCATGTAAAATTTAGAAAAGAATTTAAAATCCTCCTACTCACCTACAAAGCTCTTCATGATCAGGCCCCTTCATATCTTAAAGAGCTCATAGTACCCTATTACCCCTCTAGAACACTGCGCTCTCTGAATGCAGGGCTACTTGTGGTTCATCTCTAAAAGTAGAACAGGAGCCAGAGCCTTCAGTTACCAAGTTCCTCTCCTGTTGAACCAGCTTCCAGTTGTGGTTCGGGAGTCAGACACCCTCACTACATTCAAGAGTAGGCTTAAGACATTCCTCTTTGATAAAGCTTATAGTTAGGGCTGGATCAGGTGAGTCCTGAACCATCCCTTAGTTATGCTGCTATAGGCCTAGACTATCGGGGGATTTCCCATGGTGCACTGAGCTCCTCTCTTCCTCTCTCTCTCTTTCTGCACTCTTTCATGTCCCATTAATGCATGTTACTAACTATACTTCTTCCCCGGAGTTCTTGTGCTTTCTCGTCTCGCAGGTTCTGATGGATCCTGGTGGTGCCTCATGCCATGGTCCTGCTTGACTGCCATTGCTAATATCACTGATATTACTGTTATTATCATTATTAATATTATTATTACTACAGTTACTATTATTACTATTGTAACTGCTCATTGTCCCCCATCGTCGCTGTTGTCGTCGTCATCATCTACTGTTAGTGCGGTTGTTGCTACTGTTGTTGTTGCTGTGCAACTGTCTGTCTATCTGTTTATCTGTCTGTCTGTCTCTGTCTCTGTCTCTCTCTCTCTCTCTCTCTCTCTCTCTCTCTCACCCCAACTGGTCGAGGCAGAAGACCAACCACCTAGAGGGGAAGGGTCTGTCCTAGGTTTCTGCCTTTTAACAGGCAGTTTTTCCTTGCCCCCGTCGCCAAGCGCTTGCTCATGGTGGTACTGTTGGGTTTCTGTAAATGTTATAACAAGTTCGGTCTACACCTGCTCTATTTGAAAAGTGTCCTGAGATAACTTCTGTTATGAATTGGCGCTATACAAATAAAATTGAATTTAATTGAATTTAATTGAATTCTTGGGGGTGCTGTGGCTCAGAGGCAGAGTGGGTCGTTCCTTAATTGGAAGGTTGTGGGTTCGATCCCCGGCTCCTGGTGCCACATGTCGAAGTATCTTTGAGCAAGATACTGAACCTCAAATTGCTCCCGATGCCATGCATCTGTGTGTGAATGTCTATGAATGTTAGTTTCTGTTCAATGGACTTTGCCATCACTGAGTGTGTGAAAGGGTGAATGTCTCACGTAGTGTAAAAGCGCTTTGAGTGGTCGGAAGACTAGAAAGGCGCTATACAAGTACAGGTCGATTTACCATTTACCATTACTCTCTACTGTATGCAAAATACATGAGGCAGAAAAAGACGACACTATGGTAAAAATACTCTATACACTATGAAATATACAATACTTTAATTACATCTTGTATGTTATTTGCTTGCTTGATACCTAGGTTTAAAAAAAAGTATATTCAGCCATATAAGTAGTCACCTGAAGTGGCTTGGGAAGTAACAAGGGGAGAAGACATTTGAATGCATTTACGTATACAATTTATGAAATCTTTATGTACTATGATATCATCATATTGTATGTGGATTGTTCAGCAGGACTTTTTTGGGGGGAAAAATTTGAAGAAGAGGTAGCATTCTGTAATCTGGACACTAACTCGTAGGAGAATGCATTTTTGTTTTTGTGAGTGACAAGAGTCGCTCAAGGGGGGAATGTAGTGGGAAAATGCATTCAGGGATAAGGTTCTGTGAACATGAAGCAAACTATAATACGTTGTGTTATTCCATGTTTAATTTTACAGGCTTACAGTATCATTTTTTATGTTCATGTATGTTAATCTTCATGTATTCACACTCTGGCTGTCTCACACTAGTTAGGAGAGTTATTATTCATTGTGCCATGAGCTAAGCACATTCCAAAAACCAAGGCTGTCTTGGGGAGAGTTGGGCATCAGATGTGTTATAACTACTGTTTATCAGACATTAGCTGTCACCAATGGTGACAGCTTTGGGAAAGAGGCATATAATAGAGTGATTTTCTTTGTTCAAGGCAATTGTATCCCGGGACAACTGTTTGCTTTTATCCAGTGTGATGCAAATAAATCTTGCACATTGAGTGAAACTGTCAATTCTCTTGGCTTCCTGTGAGTCTTTGTCACCATTCTGGGTACCTTCAGTGGGAGTTTGAGGTCTCTCACTATAGTCAGATAGCTAAAAGTTTAAGTCAGATAGACATCAATTGAGGTGCATTGAGACAAGAAAAATCAAACTACAACAAAATACTGTTAATAATACTATTTCTCTGGTCAAACATATTCATCCAAACATAGACAGTACAACAAGTAAAGACAGCCTCAACATCAATGAAGATTCCTAATTCGTTTGCATAATCTGAGCACGGCAGGCAAATTGCACAGGAAGTCAGTTAATTAAGCCACACTGTCTCCACCTCCAGCCCACATGCAAACTTAAACTTACACTGGAGCATCCTGTCCAACTCCCAGCAAGACAGCAAACAAGCATGTGTGTACACATTCTCATGCATGAATGTTACAGTAGTCCAGATGGTCTTACCTGTGGGGAGAGTCCGTTGCTGACAGGGTTGACATGATTGCTAGGTGCTGCAGAGCTCATGAAGGTGTCGGAGTAGCTGGAGAAGCCATGGCGGTTGGAGGCCAGACCGTAGGCAGAGCTGCTGTCGTTGCTGGACAGACCACTCTGGTGCATGGTGGATGGAGGTAATGGTTGGGGACGGTGAACTGTGCCACTGCCGTCTAAAGAGCAAAACACACATAGCTGAGCATTATATTTCTAAAAACCTCCCTGTACTCCAGTCTGTTCTCATGTACAACAACATAGATCTATTTCTTCAATTGCTCAATGTAAATGAGGCAGGAGCTAGGCTAGCAGTTATCCTCTTCTACCTGTGTGTGTGACACATCCTGGACATATCTATAAACAGCAGCGGTGGCGGAAGGTGACAGCATAGCTTTCAGGTGAACAGTGGGAGTGGCAACTACAGAGTGAGCAGAGAACTGACGGCTTAAGTACACTGCCATGATGAAAAGGATGGTTTGGATACATGTTGCAGGGAGCTAGAGTGTAGCAGCAGAATTGAGTTGACTGCCTGAATTAGAACACAGACTTTGCTTCATTGAGCTTGCTTTCACACCTAATCTGTTTGGTTACAATAAACTCTGCTCTGTTTTCCTGGTTAGTGCAGTTCTTTTGGGCTGGTGTGAAAGTCTCTGGTGCGGACCAAATTCTGTTACTGCATACTTCTCTCCACACATTTTTTCAGAAACATATTTCAGACCGCGTATGACCAGGCAAGCTGCCATGGTTTCCTGCTACAGTTGAGTTGAAACCGAGCACAGCCAATAAGAGCAGCTCAACTCGCAGTATGTCACCACCAAAAAACCAGCATGGCAACGACCATAATGCTGAACTCAAGACTTCAAAACGGTACTCCACAAATCATTGGGTGACATCACAACAGGTTCACACTTGGGCTGCCCCCTTAAAGTCTATAATTACAATCATGCATTGAGTCAGTCTCATTTGGTCAGTCAGATCTCTGCACTTTTGTCTTTTAGCTGCATCATTGTACACAGAGCAGCGCAGAAAAAACAACATGGCAGGTAGTAAACTTTACAAACCCAGTCTCACAATGACCACAAACCACAAAACTAACTGTGATGGGAAGGCAGCATGACTCGAGACAGCGGGGCAGTGGCTGCTCTGACGCTCTCTGCTCCGATGCTGACTGTCAGCAAAGTCAGAAAAACCTCTTTTGAACCAGATGGCAGTTCAACCTCCTCTACTGCCATCCATTGTGACTGACTCTATGCTGACAGCACTGCAGCAACCCGGCAGAAGAAACGCTCCGTGGTGGGCTGAGATTTTATAACAGAACTATGAGCAGGACACACACTTTTACTTTCTCTGACTGTGTGGAAATCTGATGTCAAATCTCCATATTGAACAGCCAAATCCGATTCATCAAAACTCAGAGTCGGGTACAGTCCTACAGAAATATGGTCATCCACCTAAAATGCATACAGGTTACTGATGTATTAAAACATGAGTAAAGTTATTTTAAAAGTGAGTAGAGGGGTTTCTGCAGCTGTCTTCCAGTGTTTCAGGTTTTTCTATACCTTTCAGCACAGAGATTGGCCCATAAAGAAAAACACCACAGTTTGCATGGTGTGGAGGTGGGTGTGAGATTAGCTACACATGGTTTTAGCAGAAGTGCGCACACAGAGCTCTCCTACTCATCGACATATAGAAGATGGACCTTGCATCTCCACTTCAACTCACTGTACAAAAATGAAGCCAAAATATAAAGGATACGGTTGCTGCCATCTTTCACCACTCGGAGCCAGAGTCTGCGCAGTAGAGATCGGGGTTGTCGCCATGGTATCAAAGTCCCACCAGCCTGTCCGGCCAACTTTGCCCAAGCAGTGCTCAGAAGTTAATCATGACGTGAAGCCCACTTTTTATATCTTCAAATAACTAATTAAAACCAAACTGATCAGAAGAATGAACACTTTAACATGCATCAGTGTGATATGAACTACCTAAAATGTATTTGATGTGTACTTTGATTAGTCCCATCTGCCCATGTTTTGACTTTTGACTTTTGGAGAACTGTGATGTCGTCCATCTTTATATATGTTGATGCTCTAACATCACAAACTAACTTTCATGTCCACAGCTTGCTGTTTGTCAGATTGTTTGCTTTATTAAATACCTTCAGCATCAAACAGCAGCAGAAACCAGAAGTTCGTCTTTAAATTAAGAGAGATATACAATGATTTGTGGAGTACCGTTTTGAAGTCTTGAGTTCAGCATTATGGTCGTTGCCATGCTGGTTTTTTGGTGGTGACATACTGCGAGTTGAGCTACGCGGTCTGAAATATGTTTCAGACCGCGTATGACCTCACGTCTGTGTTTCATGAAACACAGACGTGAGGGGATAATTTTTAAATCACATGAGGTCCCACAAGTAATACTGGTCCCCTGCTATTCGGGCTTTAGTTAAAGCTTCATGAATCACTTTTTGGCCTGTGGGGGCAAGAAGAAGGCCAAAACAAGCTGGGCTCCTCCAACTCCTGAGGAAAATATCCGGCTCTTTAGCAGCTAGATGTTCAACATCTTGATTTGCAGATTGCTTATGAAGTCTTAAAGGTCCAGTGTGTAACATTTAGGAGGATCTATTGTCAGAAATGTAATATAATATATCAATAGGTATGTTGTTATTAGTGTATAATCACCTGAATACAGGAATCGTTGTGTTTTTGTCACCATAGAATGAGCCGATCATATCTACAGATGCCGCAGGTCACCTTCTATGGAGTCCACTGTGTTGAACTGCCATGTTTCTTAAGCAGCCCAGAAGGGACAAACCAAACACTGGATCTAGATAGGGCTGTCCACATTTTTTAACGTGTTTTACAACCGCAGTAGTTTCTCCTTCGTGCTTGGAACGCAAAGGAGATTAAATCTGCAACTACACTGCTAGATGTTACTAAATCCTTCACACTGGACCTTTAAGATGAAAATGATATTTTCAAGCAGCACAGGTGCTACATGACAAACACAAATCCAAACCCAAAAGCAGAGTATGGAGTCTCTAACGTTACACAGAGGAACCTTACAGTTCAAATTTAGTACAAAAAATTACACCCGGGAAACAAATGAAGGGATATCTCTGGATAAATGAGTGCAGAAACATACGGAATCCAGATGCTCCAAACATGACACATGAGCTCACTGAGTGGTTTGATGAGAACGACATTGACATGAATGTGAACAGATTTTGAACATTTTACCAGTGTAAAAGTGATATCTGCTCTACCTTGGGGAAGAGTGTTGGTTGGGTAGCTGGTCTCTGGTAGCTGGTATGTAGGAAGCGTTGGCATCCCCGTGGGAGGAAATCCACCTGGCAACAGGTGATTGAAAGCTGCTAGCTGATTAGCTCCCGCTTGTTTTCGCCACCTGGCCCTTCGATTGCTGAACCACACCTGAAATAGAACAAAAGTGTCAATAGTCATTCAACTTCCTCTCAGAGTCAGATTTGTGTATAGTGCACAGTGTCAGCAGCACTATCAGATACACTGCTGGATACTCCAAACGTAAACCCAGCAACACTGGATGTGTTTCGATGTACTTTGCCTGTGCTTTGTTGCACCATAACTACACCCATACTGACACACCCTGAAATATACCTTACACCTTTTGGTTAAATCTACAGATGTAGTAACAACATTGTAAACTCTTAAAAGTTTATTTTGGGCACTTTCTTTGAGACATGTTATTTAAGCAATATCTCTAAATTGACCAGTGCACGAAACAACAATGTTTCTGCCTGTAGTGTCTCACTTTAATCATTATCACTTCTTTAACTTTAAAATTTGAAATATTAACACATTTTAAAAACAAAAAAGAGGCAATTGATCTTTGGCATGGAAGAGAAAGTATGAATGTCAATGGAGTGTGTTTGTGCACTTTATTATGTGTAAATGGAGTGAGTGTGTGTGGTTAATCATGCATTGCTCCTCATTGACTCAGGAAAGCAGAATGCAGCCTTAATGGGATGAATGGAGGCCAAAGAGGAGGGAGAGGATGCGTCAACATCCCACAGCTAAACGATTCACACATGACTGATCAAAGCAACTAACACACTTACTACCATATAGTTTTACACTCTGTACGGTGGCTTTGGAATTCTATTTCTATAAGATCTAATTTTACAAAACCGCACAAGACAATAAAACAAATTTTAGTCAGCCAAATAAAAGATTTTTTAGATAATTTCCGAACTACCTTGATTTGTACACACATTAGGTTTCTGTAAGGTTTGAAAGTTAAGAGATTTTAATACCTTTTTAGGGCTATTATGAATGCGATTTAAGACCTATTTGTGTCCATATTGACAAAAGAAATACGAAGGATATAAAGGAAAATCTGAATAGGTAGGTAGTTATAGCATAATCAAATCAAATATTTCCCAAAAACACATTTAAAAGTGAGATTGAAAAAGGCAACTTTTACAAATTTCCAATCAATTTTTAAGACCTGTCAAAATGTCAAAAATGTATTTTAAGGCTTAAAATCTGATTTTAGACTGAAACACAAATCAAAGTAGAACCAGTGAGTGAAGTAGCGCTGTATAGTTTTACAGAGGTGAGTTGAGAACCTGGTCACATGACCTGTCTAAAATTACAGATGACTACCTGCATGACTTCTGCTTAATAATTAGTGGATGTCTGGCCACTATCTAGATCCAGAGTTTGGTTTGTCTGTTCTGGGCTACTGTAGAAACATAGTGGCTCAACATGGCGCTCTCTGTAGAAGGGGACCCGAACACAAAATAAAAACTAGGGCTGCCCTCTAATAGTCGACTAAACGGTTTGTTGATGTGAAGAGACTTAGGCAATGCACTTTTTATTGGTCGGACAGTCACAGAAAAACTGAAACAACAGGGACAAAAGTATCATATCTTGTTACACAGGAAGTCTCTTAACCAGTGCACTGATGCATATGCTAACTAACGATGTTAACTAAGTCCTATTAACTCACTCTACCTGGACTGGGAGCTGGAAGGACAGGGCTAGAGTCGAAACACTAGTGTACCAGTATAGGAGCAGGAAGAATGGGGGAAGAGGAGCTTACGTTTTGTAAGTAATTATTGTACGTAACTGTTAACCATCATCCATCCAATCGATAAGTCCGCCAGTATTTGTTTTAGTGAAGTAGGAAGTTATTTATTCCGTGATTGAACAACAAGACTTGAGTGATGTTACACTGTTTTGAAAAAATAAAATAAATGTTCAGTCCCTACCGGTTGTTCTCACACGTTCAGAATTATATAATACCGCTCTTTTCACTAACATTTAAAGTATATATATTTAAACAATTAAATTACCATCATAAACTTGGTCAACTATTGGCTTTATGACTACTAGTCGACTAGGAAAATCTTTAGCCCGGGACTGCGAATAATATATGTTATATTCCATTTCTGACTATAGATCCTCTTAAATGTTACACGCTGGATCTAAAAAGAAAAGGAAGGATGTCAAAAATACAGACCTGTCAAACACACATACACTCACACCTACTCTCTAGCCCAGTAAAGTCCAATCAGGCAGATAGTGAAATGACAAAGGGGTGTGTATTGCCAAAAGCTAAAGTGTCCTCTTTTTCAACTAGGCATGGCAGTAATTTCCAAGTTCTTAATTAAAGCCAACTAAAAGACAGAAGCTCTGAGCAAGTATCAGCCTGTCGGTCTGCAGAAAAATACACTCACAGAGCCTGGATGTATCTCTGTCCCACTGCCTTCTCCTCCTCACGCATACTGTCTCATGTCTCACATTAGGACACACAGGTAACTGAATTTTTATAATTTGCGTCATTTGAATCAAACCATACAATGCCGCTCACATGAGTTAACACACATGCACACACACACCACACATCCAGAGCCATAGCAGGAATCCATGCATTGCCTCCAGCTCTCCACCCACCCACTTTCTCCAGGAATCCTCCTTTTTCATTTGGAGCAAATGGAAACAGGCCTTTCAAGTGGAGAAGATCATTTGGACTCCTATTTCTGAAGAGGAGACTCAAATAATTAGAACAGGTGTTGTCGCCCCGAGGTACTACTGCAAAAGAAGCAGAAGGAGAGTAGAGTTTGACTGATCAACTCGACAGTCCAACTCCCTCTGCAGAGCACACACCTGAGTGTGGATGGGAGAGACTGAGAGAGAAACAGGATCACCGCTCATCCCGTCACCTCCTCCTAAACACAGCTGAAGAAAACAGTTGAGAAACTCTGACATGATATTTTATTGGTTTAATTCATTGTCCAGTTGATTTATAAAGGCAGATATGTGTGCATTTACAGGGACATATTTGTGCCACCAGCATGTACAGAGTGTGTGTGGTATCAACCATGCCTATCGGCAAGAATGCAAATCAGCCCATCTCCCAAGATGTGATGCCTAATGCTAATGTTAAGTCTGGAACAAAATGTCAGCTATCATCACTTTTATGAAAAAAAATGAATAAGAAAAGACAGTGGTCAGGGTCAGCAAAGTGGAGTGGTCAACCCTTGTGTCTGCACTCGCAGGCAGATGTAAATGCAGAATTTGTCAGTGCAATAGTGCAAATGTGAAAGACAAACTTTGCTGCTTTCCCCTGTTTTATTTCACTGCAACAAAATCTTGTTGGACTGTTAGGCAAATCAAGAAATGAGAAGACATCACATTGGGTTCAGGGCATTCTTCATTATTTTCTCACATTTTATACAATAAATGAGTGAATCAAGAATAATTCCATTTTATTTTATTATTTGATTTCATGTAACCCAAGGACACTTTACTTACGAGATTAATGAAATGAAGTTAGATGCAGCCCTGCAGATTACTGATAAAGTAGTGATAGGTCTCTCTTGATAAAGTAATTATTGATTATTGATTTTAATATTCATGTGGAGGTTGACAGCCTTAGTAATGCATTTATCTCATTGATAGACTCAATTGGCTTCTGTCAGACTGTAAATAAACCCACTCATTGTTTTAATCACACTCCTGACCTCGTTCTATCTTATGGCATTGATATTGAACATTTAATTGTCTTCCCACATAATCCTTTTTATTAAACAATTATTTAACAACTTTTGAATTTCTATTACTAGATTACTAGCCATTAGGGAACACTTCCTACAGCAGATGTCTATCTGACAGTGCTGTAGCTAAATTCAAGGAGGAGATTCCATCAGTGTTTAATTCAATGCCATGTCGGAATATAACAGAGTCTTATAATAACTTTAGTCCCTCCCAAATTGATAATCTCGTTAATAGTGCTGCAGGCTCACTGTGAACAACATTAGATTCTATTGCCCTTATAAAGAGGAAAATATTAAAACATAGGAGACTAGCACCGTGGTACTACCACCAAACCTGCCAATTGAAAGGAAATGGCGTTCTTCCAAATTATTAGAATATCACTCAGTTTGGTCTTAAAACCTATAGAAAGGCCCTCCATAATGCCAGAGGAGCCTATTATTCAGCACTAATAGAAGAAAATAAGAACAACCCCAGGTTCCTCTTCAGCCCTGTAGCCAGGCTGACAGAGAGTCAAAACTCTATTGAGCCATGTATCCCCATAACCTAAGTAGCAACAACTTTATGAGCTTCTTTTATAATAAAATTATTACTATTAGAGACAAAATTAACAACCAAATGCCCTCAACAGGTATCGCTGTCTTTCCAAGTTCAGGAACTTTAACAAATGTAAAAAAAAAAATGTTGACCCAGGGGTTTTAGCCAACTATAGACCGATTTCTGACCTCCCCTTCCTCTCTAAGATTCTGGAGAAAGTCGCCAAGCAGTTGTGTGACTTTCTACATAACAATAGCTTATTTGAGGATTTTCAGTCAGGATTTAGAGTTCATCACAGCACAGAAACAGCACTGGTTAAAGTTAATAACCTTTTAATTGCTTCCGACAATGGACTTGTCTCTGTACTTGTATTATTAGATCTTAGTGCTGCAATTGACACCATTGACCATAATATTCTTTTACAGAGACTTGAGCATCAAAGTGGCATTAAAGCACTAACGTGGTTTAAGTCAAGTTTGTACCTGTTAACGATTCAATTCAATTCAATTCAATTTTATTTGTATAGCGCCAATTCATAACAGAAGTTATCTCAGGACACTTTTCAAATAGAACTCTTCAACATTAATTACAGAGACCCAACAGTACCACCATGAGCAAGCACTTGGCGACAAGGGCAAGGAAAAACTGCCTGTTAAAAGGCAGAAACCTAGGACAGATCCTCAGGCTCTAGGTGGTTGGTCGTCTGTCTCGACCAGTTGGGGTGAGAGAGAGAGAGAGAGAGAGAGAGAGAGAGAGAGAGAGAGAGAGAGAGAGAGAGGCAGAGAGAGAGAGAGCGAGAGACAGACAGACAGACAGACAGACAGACGGGTGCACAGCAACAACAGTATTGGCAATGG